TGGGTACCTTGTCCGGTACAAGACGGGGAGACCATGCCATCAACCCTGTCTATTTCAGACACCCCTGGCGGTGGAGGATTGGTTGGACATCCTGAGTATCGATTTCCAGCCACCAGGACATTGAGTTCCTCCTCATCCTTTAGTTCCCCTGGTCTAGAATCAGAGGTTGGGGCAGCTGCTGGTTCCGGCACCGAGGCAGTCTGCCTCTGAACCACCAGCTTGTTTCCCTCTTTGCTAGTTTCCAAATTATGCAAACTCATGAACATCTGTATTTAAGGTATTTCATTCCATTTCCCAGACCTCTGACAGAACAATTCTAGTTGCAAGATAGTATAATAATTCAATGACCCGTTGAGTGGCCAACGCTCTCCAGAATCTGATATATACATTGGCCAAACAGTATGGCAATAGGACTTTAATTTCTTTTTGGTCAACGGCTTACAGCCTTAGTTTTGCCAATGTACCTGATACTCTGCCCAATGAGCTCCCAGCTGGGATTGAAACCTTAGATCCCATTATTGAGATGGAACAAATGCAGCTGCTCTTAGTACAAACCCACACACACAGACACAGATCCAAGTATTGCCTGGCTCAGACAGACAAAACCCAGAAAAACCAGATTCGGATCTGAACACCAGCTAAACCAGACCTAGCTAGGTACCAGATTTGGATGCGACATCGTCTTACTCTATATACATGGTCCATCGACCATGAATCAGTCAGTGGGCTAAAACCAGAAACCAGATGTGACCTTAAGACCACCAGATGCCCAAAGGCTGAAACCAGATGTGGTAGCTTTTGCAGTGCAGTAGATGGGCCCCACGTCCTGGGGAACAATATTGCCAACCACAAGTGCACTTCCAGAGCCAGAGCAAGCTTGCAACCAGAACCCCTTACTAGTGGGGGTGTTATGCCTTGCTGAATATTGCAGCCTCACTTATTGGCGCCAATGGATCCATATGACCCCCAGATGGCCCTCAAAGAGGAGCCTCAGACGGTGAGTGCAAAATCCTCTGGCTGTGCACGCCACAGCCATCCCACTTCCAGAACCAGTAACTAGAGCAGGAAAACAGAGCAAATGCTGCTTATTCTATCTCAACTGAGCAGAAAAGGCATCCGTGATGGGGGGGGGCAGAGGAGGGACGGCTGGCACAAACCCCACCTAGGCGAGCAAAATCGCTCAGCAGCTGCTTCCAGAGGTCAGTCCTGCGCCAAGAAATCCACCCAGTCCCAGTCAGCCTCTGAGACCCTCCGAAGCCAAAAGACTTACTGGAGAATCCTGAGGCCATCCCATCTGAGCCTCCAGAAACTGAAACCGGAGGGTAAACGAGTCCAAGGGCTCATGCTGCCTGCACCGCTCAGCCAATAGATCGACACAGGAGATGGGTCATAAAATAAGTGTTTATTATCAGAGCAGTAGTAGTCTGAGAAGGTAGCAGATTAACACCTTCAAAAACTGCCTTAACAGTCTCAGACCATCTTGGGGTACTTAAGGGAATGTCTGGGCATTCCTTAAGAGGCTACCTAATGGTTCCTGGTTCCCTGGGAACCAATCCAGGAGCAGTGATGACAGTAACCTGGAAAGGGTGCTAGGCCATAAAGATTGTAATTGGCAAGCTGGGGGGGGGGGGCGGAGGGGGGAGGGACATTGTTACTAGTAAGCAAGCATAAGTATGAGGGTAATTATCTAAAGCAGGGAACTGAGACAGGGGACATTCCAAGCTCAAACCACCGGGAGGGTGTTGATCAACTGTTAAACTCTAGGGCAGGGCCAGGTGAGGCCAGGGTCATTGCAAGGCCTCCTTTGTGGGGGTCCCAACCAGCCCTATTTCAAGGTTAGAAAAGACCATAACCTCCTGAGCAAGAGGGGTATGGAGTTTTATAGGGGGAGGTAAACAAGGATGTTCTTCTTCAATGTTTCAGGGGTTTTCGTTGCATCATTCATCGCAACTGAGGGTTTCAAGGTGTGACCATGACTTCTTGTTCCATATCCTGGTTCCCATGCCATTGTCCTAGAATGCTCAGGCCTGTTGATCATGGGCGTGAGAAAAATACAAGCCAGCAGGTACAACAAGCAAGCAGGGAGCAAAGAAAGATGGCTTTTATGATAAAATGGTTTCTATTCAATACACTTTCTATTCAATACATTCTAGGCGATTTCTCCAGGCCTAAAGCGGTTTCTGCTCCTAGCCTAATAGAACTGATGTAATTCAATGAGGAAAATGAAGGTCTTTATAATCAATGATGCACAGGCAATTGTTTTAGCTTTTCCACTTGGGCCCAAGATTTATCTTAATTTTTTATATATGGTGTGAAGTAGGGGTTAAGATTCATTTTCTCCATCTGTCTATCCAGCGTCCACCTCTGGCACTTATTCTGCAAGACCCTTGGAGCATTAGTACTTCAGTATTGTCATCTGTAAAACCGGGATCATCATAGCTCCCCTTCCTTAGGGAGAATTCTATTAATTGAATTAATACACGTAAAGCAATAGAATAGCACCCAGCTCATGGTCAATGGCCAGTAGATGTTGTCATTATTATCTTTTTTTTCTCCTGGTTTTATTTTATATATTTATACCTTAAAAAATACACAGAACTACATGATATATAAATACATTGTGCTTTGAAATAATGAGCACAATATGGAATAAGCTAAATCTCTAATGACCACCATTTCAATTCCCAAATTCTCCCTTCCATCCAGAGATACCTTTAAGTTTGGTATGTATTCTTCCAGCATTAAAAAAAAAAAGCCAAAACATACATATATAAAATATATGAAAATCCTGTATGCTTGCTTTCTTTACATAAATAGCATCATGTTGCATGTATCATTTTGCAACTTACTGTTTTTCATTCACTGTATTTTTGAGATTTACACATTTTGATACATATGGATGTAATTGATTCCTTTTAATAGTATTCTATTGCATGAATGTACCACATTTTATTTATAAATAAATGCATTTGAATTTTCTTTTTTTTTTTTGCTATTAAACAATATTAAAATAGACATACTTGTACTCAGGACTACCATGCTGCACAGCCCTGGAAAGTTCCACTCACATGTATGCGAATGTGCCTTCTGGGGTTGTGGAGCACACAGCCTGTTTTACTGACCTTTGCCCTGCCTGTGTCTCCTTCATTTATTCTTTTAATAATATTTATTGAGTACATAGTGAATGTAAAACATTGTTCAAGTACTTTGCTTGTATTAATGTATTTAGTTCTGTGAAAAGTCCTAAAAAGTAATACTGTTGGGCCCGCCGAGTGGTGCGATGGTTAAGAACTGGTTTGGGATGCCAGAGGGCCCTGGTTCGGATCCCACATATGAGGGCCAGTGACACTGCCCTCTACAGCTAAGATGCTGAACAACA